GGGCCGACGCCGTTGCCGGCAGCGGGGCGGCTGTCAGCGGTCGCGGGGCCGGCCGCCGCTGCGCCAACTTCTGCACCCGGCGGTGGTGGTGGTGGAGGCCGTGCAGGCACCGGCGCCCCAACGGCGGCTTCCGTTTGCGTCGCACCCACCGCCGGCGGCTGGGTGTCGCTGGCAACGCCGCCTTCGGCGCGCGGCGGCGGAATCGTGCAGCTGCCAAGTTGCAGTCGCTTCAGCTCACCCGCGCCCAGCACGCGGCTGTACAGCAGGACGTTCGCCACCGTCACGTTGGGGCTGCCCGCAGCCGCGTGCGTGCCATCCATGCCGAAAAAGAAGTGCGAGATCCGGTGTGAGTTGAACAGGGCGCCACTGTACTTCTTTCCGTAAATCTTCTCCCCACCAACGTACAAAGACCAATCGTCCCAGTCCATTTGCAGCGCCACTTGAACTGCCGTGTTCGCCTCCCACGTCCCAGCATGCTCCTCGGCAGCAGCATTATCAAGTTTGGTTTTCCACTTCCTGTCCTTCGTGTACGACAGGCCGAAGAGCTCAGTGTTGGCTCCGTCATTCATCCTCACGCCCAGCAGAGGAGTGTCGTCCTCTGGCACCGCGTGGATGGTCACCGTCGCCACGAGGGCGAACTTGGTGTTCGCAGAGTAGTATGGCTGGTTCTGCCCCAGCTTCCCCACGGGCCACTCCGCCCCCGCTCCGGCGCCGCTGAACGTCACACCCCCCGCCGCGCTCGCCGCTGCCCCGTGAACAGTTGCATCCACGCAGAGGTACTCGTCCTTCCATGCGGTCTGCTCCAGCGTGCCGGCCAAAAAGCCAAGCAGCCCCTCAGTGAGGAGGGGAACATAACGCGCGCCCAACGTCCCCTGCGGGTTGCCATTGCCAGTGCATCGCTGTAAAGCCTTGTCCAACGCCGTCCACGTCCTCACCACAGACTTTACCTGCTCCAGCTGCTCCGTCAAGCGCACAGACACAACACTGTACGACTCCTCGCCCGCCTGCTTCCTCTTTTCGTATACCGAAATCAACTCCCCCTGCTTGTCACTCTTGTAGAACAGGGAGCTGGCAGCGGCGTCCTCGTCCGCGGCGGATATCGGCCCGACGTCGTACACGCGTTGCCTGTCCGTCAACCAAAGATGCAGCCGACCCTTTCCTCCTTGGTTTTCTTTGCCTTCAGAATACACCGGCATCGTGAGGAGCATCAGTTTTTTTCCCCCAATGGTGGCAATGACGAACCCGCTTCGCACGCCTTTCCCTGTTCGGGCGCGTGAGGTGCCCCACACGCGGGAAAGTACCACGTCCTCCTCCACCCACTCCTCTCCCCGGTAACGGGACCTCACCACCCTGTAGAAGCCCTCGTCGCAGGAGGTGACCATGTAGAGGGTCCCGTATTTCCTGTCCCACTCGGC